ATACTTTCAAATCGTAAAACATTAGAGTATTAGTATATTTTGTCGATAAAACCCTATTTAAATATACGATGAGTGATGTTTGTGTTATTCAATACATTTAATTTATTAAAATTTTAAGTAAAGGAAAATACTTGTAAAATATCGATATTTTTCTATCATTCAATACGATCCATGTTTTGGCATTTATTTCTCATCGCATTATTTTTACATTTATTTAATTCATGTAATTTTCAATAGATATTCCGTCCATTGATATAAAGAATCCTAAATTATATCAATATATACTGTATTACTGTCTATTGACACATAACTTATAAGTTGTGAACTAATAATAATTCAATGATTTGATACACTGTATGGTATAGTGTTGTGCAAAATAATAGTATATTTACTGCTCATCACTTGTGTTATAGCCAGAGGTGAAGACCAATCGCCAAGAAATGTCTGCAAATTATATTGCATTCATTATAACTCGACATTAATTATATTCATTTTCATTTCAGCTTGATAGTAGACATAATTTTATTGTAACATACAGAATATTTTATGACAATACTTAAATCTTTTAAATTAGATTGTAGATTATATTATATAAGATTTAAACTAGATTTAATAGGCTTAAAATGATTCATAACAATTTAATATTATATGAAAAATTCCAATTATATGTCCAATTGTATGTCTGACTGAGAAATAATGATATAACAAATGTCTTAATTTAATGGCATTTCAATGACTGAAGTTGTGTTACATATTTCAGGAAAACACCACTAATTGATTGTATACTTAAAGCCGACGTTTATATAAGTTTCACACGAGAGCCACTCATCTAATGATGAAAACTCACTAATAATTAGATAATTGTAACGACGATCAGAGCTCATCAAAATAGTGTTCAGTCAAACTAATATGATTTTTTCATTAATTCTGTTGCAAAAAATACAAAATAATATATATTTAAATTAGTAAGTTTGATTTAATAATTATTGAATGCAATTAAAACATAAAAATCTTAGTGATTGAGAGAGTGATGCTGTTTGCGATGACATCCCTTTTGGTGGTCACCAGTGATTAGAGCGTGTGATTGACTCGAGAGACGGACTTGTGTTCACTGATTGCCTCCAAAATGAATGCATCCCTTATTGTAGGCAAAAGAAGTTCATGTGATTTGTGCCAAACAGACGTGTTTCTCAAATGTCTAACTAATGGACACTTTTATGATATGCTTTCCTTATCTTTAAATTTAATGCTTCCATCACGTGACCAACACTCGCGTCCATCACGTGGCCAACACTCGGGTCCAGTACGTGGCCAACACTCGGTTCCAGTACGTGGCCAACACTCGGGTCCAGTACGTGGCTAGCACTTTGGCAATGGTCCGACTCGCAGGGGTTTCCGAGGAGGAAAGTTTAAGGCCAAAAAGGCAAATTGGTATAGAGGTGGACGCGGTGGTAGAGGTGGACGCGGTGGTAGAGGTGGACCCGGTGGTAGAGGTGGGCGCGGGCCACAACGAGGCCGAGGTGGCGGTGCGTCGGGTGGCGGCCGTCGCAACATTATTAATACATTCAATTACTATTAGTATTAGTCCATATTTAGTGTAAATCTCATTTGTTTTTATAAAATTTTTATATTGTATGTTTCGATAATAAATGGAAAATAAAAACTGATTTAAATTTATCATATATTTTCATATCGAAAGCGAGAGAGAGAGAGAGAGAGAGAGAGAGAGACCAACATATATCAACAATTATACCAACATATCCCAATGGTTAATTGCCTAGTTGTATTAAAAATAAGTACGAATTATAATATGACTTACTTTCAAGGCATATACAAAAGGACAGGATTTAGAATGGGAAACATAATATTAAAGCATTGACTGTATTAAAGCTTGATATTGACTCACAGATGGGGCGTTTATTATGTTTCCCATTCTAAATCCTGTCTTTTTGTATATGCCTTGAAAGTTAAATTGAAAACTGGAAATAAAATGTAATGAAAAGCAATAAATGTTTACTAATATCCCAAAAGACATTGTAAGGGAAAGAAACGATTTGAACCATTGTTTTGACAAAAACTAACGCGTTTTAGTTTAGGGATCAGTTGTTTGGCTAACAATTCGTTATCGATATAATCCTTATAATCAGTGCTCCGGAAGGTCTGAACGATCAGTGTTTGCAGCGCCGGTAGACTCGCGATGTGTGGCAAACACTCGTCTAATTCCGCTTTAGTCTTCGGCCCAACTATAGCCAAATAGCGAAGCCGTGGCTTATCTTCGAAAAAATTATAATTGAGCGCTTATTTGATGGCAAGTTATAGTCAGATGTGTTAACCGTCGGCAGTGTCTCAACGGTGCGAACGATTCATTAACGATGGCCTCAACGGCACTCCCAATCAAATTGAGTGTTACTTCTAATCGTTTAATCCGTAGATTAAATGACGGCACTGTAACGGTTTCCCGTCTTTTCGATTTAGCCCACCAAAAAACCCTCTGGGCACACCCCTCCAAGACCTCCTTTTTTACCCCCACCCCCTATCAAAATTACGAAATTTATGAATGTGATATATGGATTCGATGTAGAATTTAACGCTGAACACGAATATCAAATCCAAAATTTTCTATCTCGAATACTTTCAGAAATATCGCGATCTTAACTTCCCATAGAAAACCATTATAAAAATAGTTTTATAAAATATTATTTTAATTTAAGTTAGTTATATCATGGTAAGTTAGGTTAGGTTATGTTAAGGGTTTCCTAGACGGTTGTTTGTGGCCATTTGTGCCGATAATTTAAAAAATATGTTCAAAAATCTAAATTTAATAAATCGAAAAGACGGGAAACCGATACCGAGCCTAAATGACAATTCAGTCAAGAAGTGAGCGTTTTGTTCAGAAAGAGTGCAAACATATAGGGATATGGACTCCAATTGTTTGCATTGATTGCCAATTCTGGCCATAGAGTCGGCCAATGGAGAGGAAATGCCACCGAAGTTGAGAGACAAATGTCTTAATTGTGATAATTGTTTCAATGGTTCCTCGAGTTCTGTTAGTATTGCCTCGCTTTCAATGTTGACCAATACTATTGTATAGAATAATTGTTTTATTATAATTTGTTTTGAATTTGTTTATAATTTTGTTTAATAATAAAATATAATTTTTATTATTTATGATTTAAATGGCATTTAAAAAGTTATTCAAAGTTTAGACTAAAAGTGTTATAAAATGTTGAAATGAAATATTAGTGAATAGATGTCAGTCTTGTTGTCAACACTTTGTGTTGGGTTTGCATTGAATCGGAATATAAGCACATGTTTTGTCACAAAAATACAATTCAGTCAAACAATCACTTCATTTGATCCCAAGATATGGCAAAACAGATGAAACACCTGAAGACATCACTCGAGACCACAGATGACGGCAATGAAGACAACAGACAACAGGTATTTCACAAACAATTTACTGTTTATTGAGTTTAATATTTTTGTCTCACATTTTGCTCAAGATTTACGCGAAGAACTCAATGGACAGATTCGGTGATGACTTGTATACACTTCTTGTGTCTCATCTCCATATCGAAGATATGTTTCAATTGGAATGTGTGTCCAAACAGTTCCAGAGGACTGTCTTCAGGAGTGTTGTGGACATTGATTTTGATGATCAATTCATTCAACGCCAAGACTTTCCAATCTTCACAACAATGAATAAAATCATCAAAAAGTGTCGAAACATTCAAACCATTGATTTTATTGATATCGAAGAAAACAATGAATACTTTCTCGAAGTTTTGCCCGAAATTCTTCACAAATTCCCGAATTTACGGCAAATTTACTGCAATTTGTCGTTGAATAGCAACCGATGGATCGGACACTTGGCGCCACTCATCACACGTATTGGCCGCATCTCAATGGAAAATAAACACTCACTCATTCATTGCCACCGATTGTCTCATTTGACAGCAATTTATAATTTGTCGTATGTTTTCGACACCACTTCTGGACAATTATTAGCGAAGAATTTGTTGGAGTTTAGCCTCAATGGCATTCATAATGACCAACAATTGTCTGAATTCGTGTCCGGGAATCAGTCCCTCACATGTCTTAATGTCTCTTATTTTTATAAGATCGAGAGTTTCACACAATTAGTGCCACAATTGTCACGATTGACACAATTAAAGAAATTAGTATTTAATTTATATCAATACGAGAACTCATTGTCTGAGTCTTTGCGTACAATTGGCTTAAACTGCAAACAATTGAAACGATTAATACTTACATTGGATTTTGAGATCACAGATAATAGTTTCAAAACATTGGATTCATTGGAAGTGTTTCAACAATTAAAACGATTGAATTTAACGCTCAGCAAAAGCTATTCACTATCGACTAAAACGTTTGGTCTCTCGATTCCGGGCCAAAGATTAACGCATTTATCCATTTATTGCCCGCAAATTGACTGCAAATTATTAGGCAATTGTCAGAAACAATGGCCACGACTTCAAGTCCTGTCCATTAGATGTCAATATTTTAACGGCCAGTGTTTGGATCACATCTCAAGACTACCGGCGCTGCAAAAACTTGTCATTTACCACAACTGGAAGAATGATCTCTCAGACGATGATTTCGAGGATCTGTTGTCCAGAAGTATTAAACTCAAGAATATAAAAATCCATGTAAACAATGAGAAGAAGTTTTATTGTAAGTAAAAATGCTATAAATGTAAACTATTTTTTAATGTAAAAAATCAATTGGTTTTTATATTTCTCTTATTTGTGATAATTCTTGAATTCAATTGTATTTCCCATAAATCCTAAACACTGTAAACCAATTCAATTGTTTTTTCAAATTTAAACTTATTGTAATATTTTGAATAAAATTATTAATAATTAAAATTAAGTTTTAATTAAAACTATTAATTTTGTTACTTATGAAATACATTGATTGGATATTTATTAGTTAATTATCACATTTTAATACACATTAAATTCAATGGAAACAAAACTACAAAATATTTTATTACACAAATACTTGAAATCAAATAATAATGAAATGTAATACAAAATAATGTTAAAAATTAAATTAAATTTAATGAATTGTATTGAGAATAGCGACAGAATTGTAATGTCCAACTTCTCCATAATGAACGGCCAGTTGCACCACAAAAGTGTTTATTATAGCCTATAATTTATAGGGAGGGTTCATCCAAGGGAGGTTCTGTTATAGGTATAGAAAATCCAAAAATTATTTCAAAACCGTTCATCTAAGAGAAGTGTTCATCCAAGAGAAGTTCACCCAAGAGAAGTTGCACTGTATTAATAGAAATGATGACTAAATTATTGAAAATAAATTTTTTTAATATGTAATAAAATCAATAGAAATGTTTAATTTTTTTGTTGCAAAAGGGATCAAAAGTTTTGAGCCATAGTTTTGACAATATTTATCATTTATGAATTTAGGGATCAGTTGTTTGACATACAATTGGTTGGTATAATTAAATGTATTAATTATTAAAATTTAAAGTAAATATTAAATAATTTTACGGCAATAAAAGGTGGAGATATGCTTTACAGCGCTCGAGTGCTTTACAGTTTCGATGCTCTTTAGTTTAGGACTCGAAGACAACAGATCCCAGAAATCATTGTCCGAGAGATCAATGTCTCGATAGAAGTGAATGACAAGTGTTTGCAGCGCCGGTAGTCTTGAGATGTGAGACAAACACTCGCGAGTATATGATATTCCATATGATATGGTATTGATGTATAGGTATTGAAGTCGTGATGAATGTTTGAGACAATTGTTCAAAAAGTTTGCATTCATTCGCATTATATCAAGTGTTAAATGTGTTAATCGGTGGCAAACAAGTGGTTTCATCGGATCCAACAATTCCTTATCGATAGGCATATCGAGTCTTAAACGAAATCGTTTTAATCGGCGGTAAGATATCAATGAATCCAATAGTTGAACATTGAGTGGGGAGTCGTGTCCGCGCACTACAAGTGACAATCGCTTCAATTGTTTGCAGTTTAAGCCAATTGTACGCAAGAACTCAGTCAATAAATGCCATTCACTAATTCGGTATAAATGAAGTGTCAGTTCCCGTAATTGTGTAAATTGTGACAATTGTTTGGGCAGTTGTGAGAGACTGTAGTGAATGTCATACGAAATAATAACGTAAACATTTTTGAGGGACTGATTGTGTGCCACAAATTCAGGCAACTGTTGGTTATTTGAGTCAAAACAGTAATCAAATGAAATCGTCTGTAGATTTTTGGTCAATAGTTGTCCGGAAGTGGTGTCGAAGACATCATGCAATTCATATGACATCACTTCAGACAATCGGTGGCAATGAATGAGTGATTGTCTTTCATTTGAGTAAATATTTCCAATTTTTGTAATAAATGGTCCGAATTTGGGGAACAATTGATCGCTATTTTGCCATAAATTGCAGTAAATATCTTTTAAATGCCGACAATTGTCTCGCAATGTGTTCAACACTTCGGGAATGTGTTCTTCATATTTGGTACTCATTCCTCGGCAGTCAATCCATTGAATATTTTGACACTTTATGGCAATTGTGGCCAACAATTGAATATTAGATGAAATCATGAATTTTTTGAATCCAAAAGTTTATTCAATATTTTGTCGTCAATTTCTATGTCCACAACACTCTCGAAGACTGTTCTCTGGAACTGTTTGGACACACATTCGTAACGAAATCGGTCTTCGAGTGAGAGATAAGACAATAAGAGTTGACACAAATCATCACCGAATCGATCCAAAGAGTCTTTGGCATAGATTTGTGTCTAAAATGTTGAACAAAAACCATTAAAACTCAATAAACAGTCAATTGTTTGTCAATTACCTGATAATTGTTGTCTCCATTGCAGTCCTTCTTAGTCTCTATTGGTTTCATCTGTTGTGCCATATCTTGGGATCAAATGAAGTGATTGTATGAATGAATTGTGTTTTTGTCAGAAAAATGTGAAAATATTGTTATTCATTAAAAACAACATAAAGTGATGGCAAACAAGACTGACATCTATTCATAAACTTTTTATGACATTTTCTCAGACTTTTAGTCCAAACTTTGAATAACTATTAAGTTTTATTGTAATTAATTTCAACAAATTTTTAGTTATTTGTGAATTATTTTATTAATTTAAGAGATTTTTGAAATAACTTTTATTGCAATTTTTGAATTCAATTGTATTTTCTATAAAACAGAAACTGAAACACAATTAAATTGTTTTCTATTGTATTATAAAATACAAAAGTTAAATAAATTAATGTTTTAATAAGAGATCTGGAGTTCTAATTAAACCTATTTTAAAACTTTTAGTATTAAATATTTAATTAATTATTATTTTTAAACACATATTAAATACAATTGAAATACAGATATGTTTTACGAAAAAAAATAATTCAAATTAAATAATAATGAAATGTTATACAAAATAATGTCAGAAAATAAGTTTACAAATGAATTGTATTGAAAATAAGTACAGAATTACAATATGAATTAAATTGAAAACTAAATTATAAAAAATAAAATGTAATGAAAATCAATAAATGTTTAATAATATCCCAAAAGACATTGTAAGGGATTCCGAGAATTACAACAAAAATCCCTTAATTCCTGAGGATTGTGCGGGAAAGAAACGATTTGAGCCATTGTTTTGACCAAAACTAACGCGTTTTAGTTTAGGGATCAGTTGTGTGACTAACAATTCGTTGAAATAATTGTTATAATCAGTGCTCCGGAAGGTCTGAACGACCAGAGTTTGCAACGCCGGTAGTCTTGCGATGTATTGGAAACACTGGTCTAATACCTCATTACCAGTGATTGCCAAATAGCGAAGCCGTGGCTTATCTTCGAGAATATTGGCCAATAATTGAGCGCTAATTTGATGACAATTTATAGTCAGATGTGTTAACCGTCGGCATTGTCTCAACGGTGCGAACGATTCATTAACGATGGCCTCAACGGCACTCCCAATCAAATTGAGTGTTACTTCTAATCGTTTAATTCTTGGATTAAATGATAATTCAGTCAAGAAGTGAGCGTTTTGTTCAGAAAGAGTGCAAACATATAGGGATATGGACTCCAATTGTTTGCATTGATTGCCAATTCTGGCCATAGAGTCGGCCAATGGAGAGGAAATGCCACCGAAATTGAGAGACAAATGTCTTAATTGTGATAATTTTATGAATGATTCCTCGAGTTCTGTTAGTATTGCTTCACTTTGAATGTTGACGGCGTCCACACAAAGACTGGTCAACGACTGATTCGCGGCCACCAATTGAGCAAACAATTGGTTGTCTTCGACGCCATTGTAGACGAACTCAATGTGACGTAAATTCTCAACCAGTAGTTGTCCGGTGGAAGCGCTGAAGAGGGCGGACAGTGAGCCGACAGTTATTTGCGACAATTGGTTGCAAAGAATGAGTGAATGTCTCTCTAAACCCGAAACGCCGTCTATTTGTGTGACCAGTGGTCCGAACTCTTGGATCCATTCTTCGGATTTCGACAAAAAATGACACCAAATCTCTTGGAAATGACGGCAATTGTCTCGCAATGATTTCAATACTTCGGGTAGAAATCCATTGAATGTTTTCATTCCTCGACAGTCCAGGCGTTCAATGTTTGGACATTTGATGGCAATTCTGGACATCATTTCAGTCACAGATGTCTTTGAATTAAAGATTTTAATCATTAGATTGTCGTCAACACTGATGTCCACAACACTGTCGAAGACAGTCCTCTGGAACTGCTTAGACACAGATTCCAACGCAAATCATTCTTCAAATGTGAGATAAGACAACAAAACTCGTGACAAATCATCGCCAAAACGATCCAAAGAGTTCTTGGAATACATCTGTGACTAAAAATAAGTGACAAAATAATTAAAACTCAATAAACATTCAAATGATAATCAAATACCTGTTGTCTATTCACTTCTTGGCCGTCATCTGTGGCCACAAGTGATGTCTTCGTTTGCGTTATTTGTTGTGCCATTACTTGGGATCAAATGATTGTACAAAACGTTTGATTCAAAATTATAATTAAATATTGTTTTCAATTCAAAATTAATGCAAAAATAATGCTTTTTTTAAACAAAACAAATGACGTATTATTTATAGTAAACAAAATATAGCGACAATTGTCTGTATTTTTATATTTTGTGTCAAAAAGAAATGAATAACAAAATACAGACAACTCTTGATATGTCTTAAATGAGAACTTTATTTGAAGTCATTATTGGAGACGTAATAACGGTTTGGAAACAAATCATTGGAACAAAAGTTATTGACATTTGTTTCGGGATTTCTGTGAAAAAGTTATCAAAACTTTTGTTACAATTTTTGCATTCAATCGTATTTCCCATAAAACCTATACTAAAACACTATTACATTGTTTTCTATTGTACGAGTACACCTTTGCCCGTATAATATAAACGCATTACTCAAGCGTTACATATAAAGAGGTTCACTTGTACCTCAAAACGTAAAAACACAACTTTAATCCCTTTATATCTATATCTATGAGTTATGTGTGTATATATTAGTCGTGCGGGTGAGAGAGAGTAAATGCTATACACGTACTGTGAGAATGGGTGTTCAAATGTATAGTAGTAAGGATTATTAAATATAAAAATTTAATTCAAACTATTATTCAAAATACATGACTTTTAATTCAAACTATTTATTGTATTTTTTAATACATTTAATATTAAAAATTTATTTAATTAATAGTTATTTTTAAACACATATTAAATACAATAGAAATACAGATATGTTTTATGAGAAAAATATTTCAAATTAAATAATAATGAAATGTTATACAAAATGTCAGAAAATGAGTTTACAAATGAATTGTATTGAAAATGAGTACAGAATTATAATAACATTGAAAAGCAATTGAATTAAATACTAATTATTGAAAGTAAAACATTAAATGTAAGAAAAAACAATTGAAATCATTAATTCTTTGGTACAATATATGAAAACAAACGGTTTGAGCCTTAGTTTTGATAAAACTCGATATTTTTGAGTTTAGGGATCAGTTGTTTGACATACAATTCGATGATATAATTGTTTGAATCAGTGCTCAACGGGTTGTGAACGACCAGTGTTTGCAGCGCCGGTAGACTCGCGATGTGTGGCAAACACTGGTTTAATTCCGCGTTAGTCTTCAGTCCACTTATAGCCAAATAGAGAAGCCGTGGCTTATCTTCGAGAAAATTGGCCAATAATTGAGCGTTAATTTGATAGCAATAGATTGACAGATGTGTTAACCGTCGGCAGTCTCTCAACGGTCTAAACGATTCGCTAACGAAGTCCTTAACAGCGTTTCCAAACAAATTTAATGCTATTTTCAAACTCTTGAGCCGTGGATTCAATGACAATTCACTCAAATGGTGAACGTTTTGTTCGTTAATATTGGGCATAAATAGTGTAATGGATGTCAAGTGACGGCAATTGTGACCAATTGTAAGCATAGAGTCGGCGAATAGGGAGGAAATGTCAGCCATAGTGAGCATCAATTCCCTTAATTGTGGTAAACATGACAATCGTGTCAATGAGTCCAACACTTCTGTTAGCATTTCTACGCTTTCGGGTGTCATTGCGTTCACATAAAGACTGGTCAGCGACTGATTCTCGGCCACCAATTGTGTGAACAGTTGGTTGTCTTCAACGCCGTTGTAAATCAACTCTAAGTGACGGATATTCCTCACCAGCGGTTGTCCGGAAGCGCTGCAGATGTCTGACACCGACTTAACCATCATTTCTGACAATTGATTGCAATGAATGAGTGAATGTCTCTCTGAAACCGAAACGCCTTCTATTAGTGTGACGAGTGGTCCGAACTCTTGAATCCATTGATCGGATTTTGATGTCAAATGACACCAAATCTCTCGCAAATGATGGCAATTGTCTCGCAATGATTGCAATACTTCGGGTATGAATGCATTGAATGTTTTCATTCCTCGACAGTCGAGGCGTTCAATGTTTGGACATTTGATGGCAATTCTGGACATCATTTCAGTCACAGATGTCTTTGACTTAAAGATTTGAATCAATAGATTGTCGTCAACAGTGATGTCGACAACACTGTCGAAGACAGTCCTCTGGAACTGCTTAGACACAGATTCCAACGCAAATCGTTCGAAAAATTCAAATGAACATTCAAATGATAATCAAATACCTGTTGTCTATTCACTTCTTGGCCGTCATCTGTGGTGACGAGTGTTGTCTTCGTTGATATCATTTGTTGTGCCATTTCTTGGGATCAAATGATTGTACGAAACGTTTGATTCAAATTACGTTATAACACTGTTGGGATTGTTTGATCTCATAAAACCCAGATTTGGCGTTAATGAGCTTGTCCGTATAAAAACAAAAGTATTTGGTTTTAAAAAGTCAAAAATTGTGACTGTATCAAGTCACATATAAGCTGAATACTATAGCATACATGAATGTGAAAACAACGACAAATATTATGGTAAAATAAATGGATGGCAGTGTTGTGATTTTGAATGCATAGCAACCATTAAATTATAAATAGCATTAAGGTGTTAAATATAAACCAAACTACATAGTCATAAGTTAAACACCATATATGGTCATAAAATCAACTAAACATAATGATAAATAAAATGCAAATGTGATTGTGATTAAATTCCATATTGTAATGGTTTTATTAAACAATGCAAATCAAATTATAGTCAAATTAAATCAATTAATTACAATATAATCATTAAAAAGTAACAAAACATACAACAAATTGGTTATATATAAAATAAGTACAATTTTTGATTTTAAATAATTAAAATCATTATTAATAATACAATAATATAAAATTAATTAAACAAATGATTGTTATATGTATTAAATTTAAGTTTGTGTATGAATAATAATTTGCACAATTATAAATATCTAAATTGGTTTGGATAACAATTGATTGATTAATTGGTTATAAATGTGATTAAATGTTTAATGATTGTAATTGTAGTGAATAA